ACAATCCACAGTAACTCAATTTTACCACAATCCACAGTAACTCAATTGTACCACAATCCACAGTAACTCAATTTTACCACAATCCACAGTAACTCAATTTTACCACAATCCACAGTAACTCAATTGTACCACAATCCACAGTAACTCATTTGTACCACAATCCACAGTAACTCAATTTTACCACAATCCACAGTAACTCAATTTTACCACAATCCACACTAACTCAATTTTACCACAATCCACAGTAACTCAATTTTACCACAATCCAAAGTAATTCAATTTTACCACAATCCACAGTAACTCAATTTTACCACAATCCACAGCAACTCAATTGTACCACAATCCACAGTAACTCAATTGTACCACAATCCACAGCAACTCAATTGTACCACAATCCACAGCAACTCAATTGTACCACAATCCACAGCAACTCAATTGTACCACAATCCACAGTAACTCAATTGTACCACAATCCACAGTAACTCAATTTTACCACAATCCACAGTAACTCAATTGTACCACAATCCACAGTAACTCAATTTTACCACAATCCACAGTAACTCAATTTTACCACAATCCACAGTAACTCAATTGTACCACAATCCACAGTAACTCAATTTTACCACAATCCACAGTAACTCAATTTTACCACAATCCACAGTAACTCAATTTTACCACAATCCACAGTAACTCAATTGTACCACAATCCACAGTAACTCAATTGTACCACAATCCACAGTAACTCAATTGTACCACAATCCACAGTAACTCAATTTTACCACAATCCACAGTAACTCAATTTTACCACAATCCACACTAACTCAATTTTACCACAATCCACAGTAACTCAATTTTACCACAATCCACAGTAATTCAATTTTACCACAACCCACAGTAACTCAATTTTACCACAATCCACAGTAACTCAATTTTACCACAATCCACAGCAACTCAATTGTACCACAATCCACAGCAACTCAATTGTACCACAATCCACAGCAACTCAATTGTACCACAATCCACAGCAACTCAATTGTACCACAATCCACAGCAACTCAATTGTACCACAATCCACAGTAACTCAATTGTACCACAATCCACAGTAACTCAATTGTACCACAATCCACAGTAACTCAATTTTACCACAATCCACAGTAACTCAATTTTACCACAATCCACAGTAACTCAATTTTACCACAATCCACAGTAACTCAATTTTACCACAATCCACAGTAATTCAATTTTACCACAATCCACAGTAACTCAATTTTACCACAATCCACAGTAACTCAATTTTACCACAATCCACAGCAACTAAATTGTACCACAATCCACAGTAACTCAATTGTACCACAATCCACAGTAACTCAATTTTACCACAATCCACAGTAACTCAATTTTACCACAATCCACAGTAACTCAATTTTACCACAATCCACAGTAACTCAATTTTACCACAATCCACAGTAATTCAATTTTACCACAATCCACAGTAACTCAATTTTACCACAATCCACAGTAACTCAATTTTACCACAATCCACAGCAACTAAATTGTACCACAATTCACAGCAACTCAATTGTACCACAATCCACAGCAACTCAATTATACCACAATCCACAGCAACTCAATTGTACCACAATCCACAGCAACTCAATTGTACCACAATCCACAGTAACTCAATTGTACCACAATCCACAGTAACTCAATTTTACCACAATCCACTGTAACTCAATTTTACCACAATCCACTGTAACTCAATTTTACCACAATCCACAGTAACTCAATTTTACCACGATCCACAGTAACTCAATTTTACCACAATCCACAGTAATTCAATTTTACCACAATCCACAGTAACTCAATTTTACCACAATCCACAGCAACTCAATTGTACCACAATCCACAGCAACTCAATTGTACCACAATCCACAGCAACTCAATTGTACCACAATCCACAGCAACTCAATTGTACCACAATCCACAGCAACTCAATTGTACCAATCCAGTACCTCAATTTTACCACAATCCACAGTAACTTGTAAATTGTAGAAACCACATTTCTTTCAGTGATTATAAGTTAAATAAATTCATTTTATAAACCATTGGTTAATTGTTACCAGCTTCCAAAATTTTCTTCCAATAAAAATATTTATTTAATTCAGTTTTTAAACCATCTATCTTAAACATTTCCTTTAATGCTACTTTGAAACCAAATAGTTCAAAATATTGATAGTTCCAAACATATAATAAGCTCCATAATTGTTTTAAAAAACTCGATTAAAACCAGCGCCATTTGCCTGTATTTTCCTGTTCCATTTCAGTTTTTAAAATACATAAAGCAACATGTTTTCCACCTCCTGATCCCAATGAATATGCTGCAACTAAAAGGATCAAAAACTAAATTTTTTTCACCAACATTCTTAGAAATATGAAGATATTGTAAAGCAACAACTCTAAATCATTCCAAGCTCATTCTTTCTATACTTTTTTGAATCAACTCAGAATTTAAATTAATACCCTTTGATATTTCTAAAACATCTAAAGTTCTTCTGTCAACAATTGATTGAAACAAAAAAAATTGCTCAAACAGATTTTCATATTTAGAGAAAGATACGAACATTAATGACCCCATGAAAAAAAAATTCCTTCAGTCTAATGTGAGAAATTAAGAATAAAGTTATTTACAAAAAAGAAGTCATTGCCATGTTTAAAAAATTTCAAATGCGTAAAGGTTGAGATACAACTAAAACTGATAACAATAAAAAAATTAAATCAAACAGAGCTTTATTCATAAATAGTATTTTTTAAATTCACTTTGTTAACAAACCTGAGAAATTTGCTGCCACACAAATTGACTTTTAATAATTTCAACTAAGAACTGAATAACTTCAGTTCTTAATTGAAAAAAGACTAATTTATTAAAAACTACAGACTAATTTATTAAAAATTAGAAATATTTTAACTTTGTACCATTCCTTTTATATACTTTGTACCATTCCTTTTCTAAAAAATGAGGATTCTTATATCAATTGGTACATTCTTAAAGCTATCACAGACAAAAATAATTTTTTTTTAATGGATTCAGTAATTTCTTGAAACTTTGTTATTTTTTGTTGAAACTTTTAAAACAAATATTCTTGATCACCATTTGCTGCCACACAAATTGACTTTTAATAATTTCAACTAAGAACTGAATAACTTCAGTTCTTAATTGAAAAAAGACTAATTTATTAAAAATTACAGACTAATTTATTAAAAATTAGAAATATTTTAACTTTTTTATTGAATTTCCCATATATTTGCACTGCACTGGAGCTTTTTACTTGTCAGTTAATTAACTTTATATATGTTGTATGTTATATTATAAATTTTAATTCATTATTATTTCATCAATTTTAATTCATCATTAATTCATCAAAGAAAATTTGAAGAAAACATCTCCTTAGGATCCATCTGTGGTGCATAATGTCTATCATGGTCCATAGTGTCTCCGATAATATTTATAAACAACATTTATTACAAAGTTTTACTTAAACTGTTAAAGCAAAAAAACTAATATAAAAATTATTTTAAATATAAGAATATATCTAAATTTATTTTAAGACATGCTAACGGAAAAATCTGCCCACCTTTTGTGGTGTAGTAAAGCTAGTTAACAGTCGTTTTTTGAAATTATTTTTTTGTGTGTGGTAGTGTTTGTATATTAGAACATTTTGGCAGAAAAAATAATTAAAAATATTATTTAGTTTCAAAATGTCAACCGAGCAAACTAAACAAAGATTTTTGATTGTGGACAAACACTTAAAAAATCCAACTTTATTGAATAGAAAGTTGGCAAAATCATTAAATATCAAGAAGAACTGTAGATACTGATCTTGTACAGAACAGAAAACTATTCAGAGAAAACAAGGAAGTGGTCGAAAAAAACGCACAGCAAATCCTAGAGCTCTTGAACGGTTGGAGACTTCATTGGAAGAACATCCTGATTGGTCTGATAGATTTCGAGCAAAAAAACTGAAGGTTTCCAATTTTTTTGTACACAAAAGGCGACAGAGACTTGGATATCAAAGTTTTAAAGTAGTTAAAATGACAAATTGCAACAATAAACAAAATTCAACCGCAAAGAGTCAAGCTCGAAAGTTGTATGACAACTTGTTAACAAAACGTAATGGATGCATTTTGATGGATGACAAAACTTATGTTAAAATGGATTTTAAACAAATTCCTGGGCAGTGCTACTATGCTTTTAAAATAAGAGGAAATGAGTGATAAATACAAGTATGTCATGACTGATAAATTTTTGATTTGGCAAAAAAATTTGATGATTTGGCAGGCAATTTGCTCTTGCAGCAAAAAATCGCCAATTCATGTTTGTTTGGGCACAATGAAATCTTCGGAATGCGTGAAATGTTGTCTTTCTTGTATAAAACAACTAATTAAAGCTCATAGAAGTACTTCAGTATTGTTTTAGCCACAATACATTACTCAAAAGATGCTCAAAAGTTTTACGATGATAATGGAGTGATGTTGGTTCCGAAAAAGATGAATCCTCCAAACTGCCCCAAATTACGTCCTATTGAAAAATATTGGGCCATCATAAAAAAGAAATTGAAATTAAGTGGGAAAAACAGTAAAATCAGCTACAGATTTGAAGAAAAAATGCGATTACGATGCTAAAACTTACAAAAATCACTCTGTTTAGAAACTTATGGGAGGCATCAAAAAGAAAGTCAGAATTTTCTGAAAAACTTAATATTTTTTTGTTTTTTCCCTATTAATATGTAATCTTTACAGTCTTTATTTTTCAGAAATATATTGATTTAAATACATTTAAGCTTTCTTACATCATTTTTTGATCAAGAAAGGTGGGCAAATTTTTCCGATAGCATGCCTTATGTTTAAGTAATATATTCTAAGTATATTTAAAGTTGTATATTTTGATGTCATAATTAAAAAATATAAAAACTGAAAGAGAAAAAAAAAATTTATTGAAATACTTTTGATAAGATATGCAAGTGAGCAGATTACGTAATGGCCACCCTGGATTTTCACTCATTGTAGATGGGTCTGAAAAACCAAGGACAACCTATCAAAGAAAAAAATAAAATTTAAACTAACTGAATAACAAAATTAATTAGAAACACATTAGTCTAAAAAAAATTAACCTAAAAATATTGTTTCTTCTAAAGGTATTTTTAAAATTTTCTTAAAATACCTAATACTTATTTTTTTCATTGATCCTGTAACTGAATATGAGGTGATGAATCTCATAAAAAGTACCCTTATAAATAATAAAAGCCTTGGTCTCACATTACCTCCAAACCTTTATGTTTGATGATAAATAATTTTTTCAAAAATGGTATTTTTCCAGAAGCTTTAAAGTAATTCCTATACACGAAATGGGCTCTCTTATCTAGACTACTCCAATTATCTTCCTATTTCTCTTCTTTTAAACCTTCTTGTAAACTGTTTGAAAATACGATGTTTTAAAGACTTGAGCATTTTTTGGAGAAATATAAATATCTTTACAAACATCTATATGGTTTTCACAACAAAACACTCAACAACTCATTCATTAATAGAAATAACAGAGAAAGTCAGACAAGCTATCAATAACAAACACTTTGCATGTATCAATAACAAACACTTTGCATGAGTGTTTATTGACATAAAAAAACTATTTAATACAGTTGACCACACAATCCTCCTAGAAAAACTGCAACACTATGGTATTAGAGGTATTCCTTTTCTTTTTAATTGATTAACAAATCACTTAAAAAACTTAACTAAAGTATAAATCACAATCTTGCTAATATTGTTCAATGACTCTGTTCCAATAAATTATTGATTAAAAAATAAATTATTGCTTAAAAAAACAGAAATTATTATATTCAAATCTGTTCAAAAATAAATAAGCAATTAAATTTCAGATTAAATGGGCAGAAAATAAATCAAGTTAACTCAATTAAATACTTGGAATCAAAATAGACTCGAATCTTTTGCATCACATCTTCTTGACTTGATCAAATTAAGCAGATCGAATGACATGTTAGATAAAATCTGTCATTACGTTTATCATGAAACTTGGCTTAATATATATCATGCCATTCTTTACTCCCATCTCAGATATACTTGTCAAGTTTGGAGACAATCTAAGCAGCTTGCAAGACAAACTTATCCCCAAAACAAAGCTCTAAAGTTAAATTATTTCCAACCTACTAATTTGAAATGTAGCATACTCCTTAAATTCCTTAAAAAGTCCTTAAGTTGTGCAACCTTATTCAGCTATCAATTTTTTATTTTAATTTAAAACTATATTTATAGTTGATTGCATACAGTAGTTTATAAATAAACTAATTAAAATCAACACAATAAACTATATAGACAATACAAACAAACAAAAATATCGTAAAAAATCAGTAACAACTAGCATAACAACCTAATTAATTAAATGATCATGCTTAAAAAAAAAAAATCTTAAAAATAAAAAATAATAACTTCATAAATAATGTAAAAAAAAAAAAATAACTTCGCAAATACTGTAAAAAGAACAAATAAATTTATAAATTTGTAAAAATGACACGATTAGTAATAATAACAGATAAATTTAAGTTTTACAAATTTTACAAAAATATTTTTCCCCATTCCAATGAAAAATATCATTTTTTAACACCTGGAGACTTTTTGAGCACATGACTTTATTGTCAACGGAATTCCAGAGCGAGGTGGCTTTATATAAGATATTATTTGTATTTTTATGATTAGAGTCTTTAGGCTGTGGCATCAATTTATTGCAACATCTAAGTTGAAATGGCAAAGTTTTTTTTAAAAAAAAACCCTTCATAAATTCAGGGTTTAAACCATTAAAGGGATCCCTAACTCCCAACACATGTTGTGTTCATATTAAAGATAATGTTAAAAAAAGAGGTTTGAACCAAGTTTTTTTGATTAAAAATAAATAATGAATGCATACCGAGAAAAACTAATGTTGTTGTTTTAGCCGAAGCTCGCCTTCTCCATTTTTTCAATAACTCGGAGTCTTCAAAATATACGTCGCAACCTACAGACTTTGACGATTCTTTTGAAGCGCGTTTAATTCATAAAAGTTTTAGTATTTGACGTCACGGTAGACTTTTAACAAATGAAATATATTTAAGACAAATTTTAATGATGGGGGTTCTAAAGTTTTTTTATAACAAATGTAGGTAAAAAATAAATAACTAAATAAAAAGTTCATTATTAAACATCATTTCTTCATTGTATTGCAACTGTAAATATTGAAATATTAACTTGAACTAAATTTACTTATTATTTAGAACGACTAAGCAATAAAAATAAAATGCCCCTAAAATTATGCGGTATTGTGTTGTTTATTTGATAGTTGTTGTTGGTAATGTTGTTTATGTTGATTATTTTCATTAATATCAAAATAGTCCCAGATTAATCTGTTAGTTGCTTTGCTTATTGTTGATTTATTTTTAATTTAGATTTGATCTCAAAGTATAATTTTTTGTTAAAAAAGAGAAGTTTTTATTTCATCGTGCGCTCTTTTTATAAAAGAGTAGAACAAAAGAGAAAGAAAAGTTTCGCGTAATTAAACTTTGAATGAATAAGAGTTGAATAGAATGTATATATTTTTTTGCGTCACTCGTTCCTTTTTTAGATAAGAGAAATAAAAGTTTAATAGTAACTTTTATTTGAATAAATGAGATTTGGAAGAGAAAATTGCTTGAAAATTTGTATTTGTTAATTGTGTTTTGAAAAGTTTTTAATTTTTCATGTTAAGAGACAAATGCCAAATACGACAATATTAGATATAAAATACCAAATATAATATGTTTTTTAACGCGCGTTATGACATTTTGACAATTTAAATTACCATCTATCTTGAATTATTGCCATTAATTAATGTGTTAATTATTGCGTTATTTAATAATAATTTGTCTGTATTTTTGTTAAGTATTAGTTGTATAAACGGGCGAAAATATACAAACTTGATGTTTTTAATTTGATGGTTATAAAATATTGACCAGTAAACTTATAATCAAAATTTATAATGCCGACTTGTGTTGCTATTAATTGTACTTTTAATGCAAAACCAGGATCTCACTTATCCTTTCACGAATTTTCATATCTGATACTACTGTCAACTGTATTGTTTAGTGTATTCTTGTACTTTTTTTTCATAACCTTAACAGGTTCTAATCAGTATGGAGTTGCTGACATTTTAAAAAATTTTATTATCAAAAATCAAATGTAAAATAAAATGATATTTCCTTTTTATCCGTATCCAATTCAGCAAATTTAGCAATTTAAATTAAATCAGCGTAATAAAAATTTTATAATAAAAAAAGTTAACAATTCATCAAATATCTCTAATTAATACTGTCAGTTAATAAAATTAATTGTTAATAAACACTTTTTTTCCACGGGAAAACAAAAAATATCATAGCGTAAAAATAACCAGAAGTTAGAAAATAGTTCCCATTGTTTAAATAAAAATAAGTAAGAGTCAGAATATATTATACTGCGCTCTCTTGCACAAAAACGAGAGACCGTATATAAAACGTTCTATATAATGTAAAATACTCGTATGAAAATCATAAGTTTGGTAAGTAAAGTTTTAATATTTGTTTTAATTTAAAAACAATAGAAATATAAGTAAGATATACAAATCTAAAAATTATTAAGATATCTGTAAAAAATAAGTTGCTCCTATAAAATAAAAATAATTTATTGTTTTTACTTTTTACAAATTATTTTGCAATGTTTGGAAAAATAATACAAATAAATTTGTTTTGCTGTGTGTTAAAAAAATACTACATCATACTTTTTGAATTAAAGTAGAAAAACGCAGCCTTGTGCAATTACACTTTTCATTTGTTAAAAGTCTACTGTGACGTCAAATACTAAAACTTTTATGAATTAAACGCGCTTGAAAAGAATCGCCAAAGTCTGTAGATTGAGACGTATAATTTGAAGACTCCGAGTTATTGAAAAAAATGGAGAAAGCGAGCTAAAACAACAGCATTAGTTTTTCTCGGTATGCATTCATTATTTATTTTTAATCAAAAAAACTTGGTTCAAACCTTTTCTCTTAACATTATCTTTAATATGAACACAACATGTGTTGGGAGTTTGGGATCCCTTTAAGTGATTTAAAAACTTCAATTATTAAATATCGTAAATTTTGAAGATGGATTCTTGGGTTATTATCTAATTTTAACATTTCATTCAAAGACAAATCAAATCTTTTATGGACTATGTGGAGTGCTTTTTTATGAATTTTATTTATAAGGTTGTCATTGTATTTTGAGCAAAACATCCAAATCAAAGGGCAGTATGAAAAATTTGATAAAATATAAGTGTTAAATAATAAAGTTGCTTGTTTATAAGATAGAGCTTTAATGTGATCACCAAACTTTAAATTCTTATCAATTGTAACTTTTTTTTTTTTTTTTTAGTTATTCACCTCCTCAAGGCTGAAAAGGCCACTACAGACAAGGAGGCTACTTAATAGTGGTTATAACCCTCTCTCAACTCTATAACTCCGAAACACAAACCTTGACGAACAAGGCCGCTGCGCAGAGAAACAAGTTGAGCACGGTACTACCTGGGATGTGGTGGGAATCGAACTCGAACCTCTCGCTTATGAAGCGAGTGTTTTACCACTACACCACTACCGCATAAAACTCCAAGCACCTTAACTTTATGTGAAGCAAAAATCTTGTCGTTGCCAACCATTATAAATTGGCTGTTTGAATATTTTTGACCAATTATAAGAAATTGAAATTTTTTGGGATTTACGATCATGTAGTTAAAATTAAACCATTCAATGGCGTTTAGTGTTTCATTTTGCAATCAAAGAACAACACTCTCTAAGTTATTTTCACAAACATAAAGAGTATTATTGTCAGCAAAATTGCAAATGTCTTTAATAAATAAAAAAAGTTCATTTATAAATATATTAAAGAATATTGGCCCAAGGATTGATCCTTGAGGCACTCCTAATGAAACTCCTAACCACTCAGAAAATGATGAACCCAATTTAACTCTTTGTTTACAATTGCTTAGATATGATAGTAAAAGTTTAAGGCTTTCATGAGAAAAACCATAAGCTTCCAATTTACCTATTAATAAATCATGAGGGATTAGGTCAGAAGCATTTGAAAGATCCATAAATATGGATCCAATAATATTTCCTTTATGCAAGCATTCCTGCCATTTTTTCAGTAAAATAAAAAGCGCATGCTGAGTACCATTACATTTACAAAAGCCACACAACAGAATGTTTAATCTAGGCTCAATAAATGCCCGTATTTGCACAAATATAATAAGCTCAAATACTTTTGAAATTTATCAAATTGCCTATTTGTTTGGAACCAAAATTACAATAACCTACCTCTTAAATTTATCAACTTTTTTAATTATAGGGAAAATTGTAACTATATTCTTGCAACTTTAAGTTATCTGTATCTAAAAATCAAACTGTCCATTATGGCTATAAATCCATAACAACATAAAAGTATATTAAATCATTATAAATTAAAAACTTTAGAAAAATATTGTTTATAAATCCTTTCTACAATTTATTATTTATAACTCTGAGCTTCTATCTAATATTTTTCTATTGTGTATTACTAATTTTAATACCTTAAAATTAGTTAAATTTATTATTTTAATCTTTCTTAAACTGAAATTTTTTCATTAGTATTCTTTTCATCACTATCATTGTTATTATTACTACATTTTTTCATAATAAATATTATTCTTACAGTTGCTAATATAGTTATAATTATTTTTATATTTTTGCTTTTGTTAATTTTGTTGTTGTTATTATTGTTGTTATTATTAATATTGTTATTACTATTAATGTTATTATTATTATTATTATAGTATAGTATATACTATTTAAAATCTTTATTATTATTTTAATCACTATTATCACTAGTATTATTTTTATTTCTACTTGTATTATAATAACTATTATTACCTCCATTTTATTATTATTATTGCATTTGACAGGTGAATACTTAATATTGATACCAATTACTACTTGTAAATATCCCTGATATAACAACTTTATTCTTTATTACTTGACTTGACTTGACAGAAAAAACTCATGTGTCCAACCACTAATTTAGTTCATTTTACAGAACTCATTATTTATATATACTTATAATGATTTTTTAACTAAATATTTCTATACATGATGCATAGTGAAGACCATTGTTAACTTATTTTGATCAACTAGCCAGAACAGTATAATAAATCAATAATCATAGTTTGAATCACAAAAATCACATTCAATAATTGCATGACAGGCTAGAATAACATCCATATTAGTTTTAGAGTTCATTCAGTAAAATGTAGTGAACTTTTTAAATTTCATTAATTTAAATGATTAGATAGTGCGTCCATTAGTCGTTTTTGTACAGTTTAGCATTCTTAGTCTTGAGATACATGGGTTGATATTGTGTAGTGTTTGTACTGATATGTTGTTTTTCTTATGTTGCACAATAATAATTATTTGATATTTACATGTGTTATGATTAATAATTAATGATTTTACTTTGTTATTTATATTTATGTGCTGTTTTAATACTGTCTTAAACTATTTTCTTATAGATTTACTAAAAATTAATAAATTCATTAGCTAACTATACAATTATGTCTGGAAATAAGGAACTGTCTTATCAGGAGCGAATGATGATTGTAGCTAAAATTACTGAGTCACAAAAGTTACAGCAAAGTATCATCAGAGATGAAGATTTCAAAGAACACAGTGACAAGAATAATGATGAAGTACAGGAAAACAGGGGAAGTAAATGTTGATGTATTAAACAGTACGCTAGCAAGAATAGTAAAATATGGTTAAAGTATATTACATACTTGAGATTCTAAGATCTGATTATTATAGTATAAAGTTATTGATTGGTTATAGTTACTAGACTGAGTACTAAACAAAAAATGTTCAGTTTCAAGAATAAAAAATTATAAGATTATAGCTGTTAGTTAAGCGACCCAGAAAAATCCTATTTACTGCAATATTTTGTTAACTTGATCTAACTATTGATCTATTAAATGAAGTAAAATCTCTGGAGAAATCTACAAAATGGATTCAGCCCTTTGAATTTATTATGACAATCTTATGATTAAAAGCTTTAAAAGCAAATAATATGTCAGTGTCTCAGACGAAGTCAAGAGCAAAGTTCATTTTCAAGAAAATGAAGAAAAGCAGTTTGAGGTGAACATATTCAATACTGCTCTCTAACTCAACAAATAAGAGACAGATTTCAAGCTGCAAAAAAAGGCAACGAACAAGTTCTTATTCTTATGGCTCAGAGAAGCTTAGAAAAGAAATACAAAACTTTGGCAAAAATCTATGTGAATGATGTGGATGAAGAGAAATTTATTAGAGAGGTTCATCATCTGGATACTCTGAAGCGCCCCAACCTTTCAATCCAAAAGAATTTCTTACTTCAATAAAGCTGTTAAATGGAATCATTAAATAGGTCAATAGTCTCTCCTTGAATCAATACACATTTTTAACATGGTTCCTACTTCCGTCGTTGAAGGAGAGCGGTCTTTCAATAAGCTTGATCTAGTCAAGACAGCACTAAGATCTAAAATGATTTGAGACTGGCTTACCAATCTCTTAGTTGTATCTATTGATCTTGCAAAAACTCTTTGCTACAACGATATCATAGCAAATTTTGCTATGAATAAGGCCTGTAAAGCCAATTTTCATGAAGCTGTAGAACAGCTAATAAACTTTAAACTTACTTTCATTTCTACTTTCTAATAATATTTCTATTTTACTTTCCTAATTTTTTTACTTGTCATTTCTAATTTCAATTGTTTACTGTAATCTATTTCCTATTTATTTCTATTTTCTTTTGTTTACTTCTTAATAACTTCTATTTTCTATTTCCTACTAATCTCTATTTTCTAATAGTCCCTCTCTATCATAAAGGATAAGTAACATTAAAACTTTTACATATGTTGTATGCTGAAATATATTTGTAAATGAATTTGCTGTAACATGTTTATTATTTTGCTTATAGGATCATTTGAGTAACTAAAAAAAAACTGACTAATAGGTAGATTCATTGGATTAACTGATCCCAGGAAAATAAAAATCAGGTAAAAATGCTATTTTTAATAATATAAGGACATTTCACCCATAATAGTCTAATTATCAATCTTTATGTTTTCATTTATAATTTTAGTTAAAAGTTCAGACAATTAAGCATTATTGTTAGTTTTTTTTTTTTTTATCATTTATAGGAATATTAATGGAAATATTAAAGTTTTTAGCTTTTTTCTTTAAAACAGTGGAATTAAAAGAGTACAACATGAATGACCAGTCAAGATTGGAATTCAATAGGTAGAATTAAAAAATTGATTAGAGACTAGTATTTGTAGATTTTAGACTGAAGCTCAAGTGTGGCTACTAGACCAAGTCCAACTAAATTAACAATGAATTTTTTTAAAAGAGGAAGGGCATCAGTAAAAAAACCAGCTTAAATATGACAACAAAAAATGGAATCAAAAGTAAGAAAATTAAAAGCATTTTGGGAAATTTTGCAATGGATTGAAAACATGGCTTTTATGTAAGTTTAGTAGTGCAGAAAATAATTGGAGAAAATGAAATATATAAAATGAAATATATAAAATGAAATTCACTAAGAATGTTATTATTCATCAATATTACATCAACATTATTGAAATAAATTTGTTTAATTAAAGAAGTCATTAAAATGTTGCTTTACTGATTCTAATTTTAACTACATATTTTTAACCTAATGGATTCAAGTGTTCTTATACATTTTGTTTGTTATTCTGAGACCGAAGTAATGAATTTATTTATTCAAAACCTCTATTCAATCCCAATTCATGTAAAACATTCACACTTTATCATATTTCATCACAATTAAGTAAAACCTTTATTCATACCATATAATATTCCATCACAATTCTGTTATCAAATACAAAGTTATATTGAATAAATGTAAACATAAAATGAATATAAAATAAAAAAAACAACAGATTTACATTTACAGGTCCATCATAAAATTGATCCCAATCCGATAGTAAACCTGATTCAAACTCTGTTCCTACTTTTTTCAAAATAAATGCAAATGGATCTAAAAATATTCAAAAACTATTTAAAAAAGTGTCTGCAAATTGAATAAAAAATAAAAGCCAGAAGATATTAGGCAAGCTGTTCTTTATTTTATGTTTATATATTAATTAGTGCTATAGATATTTTAGCTAAAAAATTAATCAAATTGCATAAATTAAAAAATTAATTTGGGTACTAAAATCAAAATGTGAATTTTAATTTATGCTGTGGCTCAAATGTCAAAGTAAACATATCATCATCATCATCATCATCATCATCATCATCATCATCATCATCATCATCATCATCATCATCATCATCATCATCATCATCATCATCATCATCATCATCATCATCATCATCATCATCATCATCATCATCATCATCATCATCATCATCATCATCATCATCATCATCATCATCATCATTGTGTGAGAAAGAAAGCAATAAAAACCATGTCCAACTCTGTCTCTCAAAGAATCATATGCTTTTTCCAATGAATAAATCTAAAAACAATAATAATAAAAAAAAATTTAATATCAAAATTATGATATTGTAATATAACAAAAACACCTAAAACACAAACAGTAAAACAAAAACTCTCACCTCAGTTTCATTATAGATTGCAGTAATGGGATTGATAGAGACAATATTGATATGTTCTTTAATATTAAGTGCAGGAAAAGCAAACCAATAATAAAAATCGTACCTTTTTAAATCCTGTAATAATTTAAAAACCAATGTATGCAAAAAATATATGATACAGAATATGATACATGATTACAGAAAATATAGCATATACATTTTCTGATAGCTTTGAAGCAGGTGGTAAATAATCATTGGTCACCAAATATTTGATTTATTAATTCATGAGAAATGTTAACTAATAATAAGTAACAAAATAACAGCTTGAAAATTTATTTTTTATAAAAATAATTACTTAAAAAACCCAGCAAACATGATTCTAACATTATTTTCTATATCATAATCATAAACTACAATTCTTCATTGAAAAAAATACAATGCTAATTGAAACATGCCTTTTGAAATTTGCTTGAAAGCTGCATATTTGTACTTGCATAAAAGTTTAACTTTCTTATTCATGTTCATACTGTTTAATACTAAAGTATGCGATTGTTAAATTCAAAACAATGAATTTCGTTTTAAAAATTGTCAATAACACATTTAAAAAAGATTTTTAAAATTACGTGCATAACTACAATAAGTAATATGAGTATTAATTAAAAATATCAACAAACAAGTCAAAATATTTCTCTTAATTAAAATGTCATCGAAACAGTTAGAAAAACAAAAAAATTTTTTGCACATCTATCTGCAAAATCCTTCTGCATTGTTACTTTCAATTGCTAAAGCATCTGAATCTAGCAAAACTATTGTTTATATGGTCATAAAACAATACAAGAGCTCTTTATCTATCAAACAAGCAAAAGGATCTGGAAGAATAAGTGGCTTAAAGATAAGAAAGTAGCAATTAGTATTCAATGTTCATTCACGCAAAATTCCAACTTATCAAACAGAGAATGAGCCAAAAGGTATAAAGTTTCAGAGTTTTTTGTCAGGAAAGTTAAGAAATTTAACAATTTCAAATCTTATCTAGCCATTAAATATCTAAACCGATCAGATAAGCAACACTGACTGCTAAAACTCGAGCTCAAAAACTTTATGACAAAGAGCTTACAAAATTTAATGGCTGGATAACTTTGGATGACAAAACCTATATCAAATGTGATTTTAAAGGTCCAACATTTTACATTTCAATTGTTCGCAGACCTATCAGCAACAAGTCCAAGTATAAATCATTAGATAAATTTGATAAGAAACTTCTCTTGTGGCAAACAATATGCAGCTGCAGTTTGAGATCTCAAACTTTCATCATCTTGTCAACTTTCAATTCTGATATTTACATCAAGAAATGCTTGCAAGCTAGACTTTTGCCATTTTATAGAAGTCACGATGTCCTCTGTTGGTTCTGGCCTGATCTTGCTTCTTGACATTATTCTAAGAGGGGTAAAATTTGAGAGACATCAAATTCATACCAAAAAGCTTGAATCCATCAAACTGCTCAAAGTTCCATCCCATTGAAAAAATTTTTGGAATTGACAAAGGATATTTGCATAAGAGTGGCAAAACAATAAGTACAGCTAAAGATTTGAATAGAGAGTGGACATTAATAGGATAAAATATCGCCAAAGACACTGTGCAGAAGTTGATGTTGTCGAGTAGCATAAATGTTCGCTTATTCGAAATAATGAAAAATATTAAAATAAAAAGCATTTTTATAATCTTCAACTTCCTTAAAATAAATATTTTTTGCATTAGTTTAATTATTATTACTTTTTAAATTTTTAATTGTTCCGAACTTAACAATCGCATGCTTTACCTTCCTAATGCACTTTTGTTATTTATACAAGCAATAAAAGCAATATCGTTTAGCAAAAATTATTTAGATATGATAATACAATAAATAACATACAGCAAATGTCAGGACCAAAAATCTATTAAGCAAACTAGTGTTTTCAAATGCAACACCAGATTTGATATCTTCAATGATCTATAAAAAAAGATATTAAAACAAAACATATCTTAAAAATCATATGCTGATCTTATTTCATGATAAAATTTAAAATTTAAATGTTAAATTGTGAAGTTAAATCTTAAATAAAAATTGACACACTTTATACATGTACCTTAGTGAGTTAAATTATATAACTTATATTTTATTTTGTTTAACAATGTTTATATTAACCCCAAGACTTTTATTTGCATTTTTAATTAAAGTTCATGACATTATCACATCATGTAATATCAGAATAGAATCAGCTGTGCTATTAAAACTCTTTCCATTTTCAGATTAATAAGTAATATTCAAAACTAGCTGATCTGAACTGTAAAACTAAGGGTTTTTGTAAGCCTATTTTTCCTTATATGTATATTAAGCCACTACCAAAAATACTTTTTTTCTCAGATCATATTGGCTCACTTTGGGATTTGTTGTACATATGATTTTAAGACAATCCTGAAAATTTCAGACTGATTGTATTAAGGGCAATTTTGGGAAATGGTTTTGAAGTTTTTTCTTGTTTTTTATAAATTATTCATTTTTATGACATTCTCAATATTTATTATACTTTAGTACAAACTTTGATTTTTTCCATTAGAATATTTGAATATTATAGAATGAATATTTACCACATAATCTTAAACACTAGGATAAGAACAGGGGGCGGAGTTACCCACCCCCAACTCTTTTAAAACAATTTTTTTTTAAAAAATTTTGGTTTGGGCTGCCTTGGTCCCTGTTTATTTCTGAAATTACCCTGTTCAACATGTTTTTCTGCACAACGGTGATTTCGAAGTTAAGAGTTGGAGGGAGATTTGCCATTTAAAAATAATAATTCTTGACAGTGTCAAGTCAAGTATACCCTCGGACGTAGGTATGTGAACCAAATTAAATTAAAAAAAAAAAACATTTTCTCAAGAAAAAGATATAAAGTAATCAATTTTAGATAAATTACATTTATTTTCTACTCTGCTTTGGTTTTTAGTTAGAATAAAATTATGTCTCTTTACTTGACCATAAACTATCTTTGATGCCTCTGATACAAGCTTCACGGACCTTTCCACTGACTGGGAATTGTTGGGTAAATCCGTAATCCGTAAGCATTCTCTAATTCAAATGATGAAATTAGGATAGAAGTTGGAGGTTCAACCTCAATTAAAGAAATATCAACTAAACTACTTCATGTATCAGCATTAATGTTAATAGGCATAATTAATTTAGCTTTGATTTTTGGTTTGACTTCAGGATTTACTTCTCTTGATTGCCTTATGTGCAAAACTTGCTTAATAGCTTGAGCCCTTATATCTTTTTCATCATCTTTCAATATAGAATATAAAAAGTTTCCTTGAAGACAGCAATAAGAGTTTCCTTGAAGATTTTGAAAAACAGTTTGTTGTATATTGTCTGTCTGATTTTTAACAAGCTCTATTGTCTTATGAAGAAGTCTAGGAGCATCTTTATAAAGATCACCCCATTAATGGGCAAACCACATGGGGCAATATACATGTACTACATACTTTGTAATTGTACACAACTCATCTGTAGGATTCTTCACTCTCGTATAAACCATCATTATTCTTAAAGCTAGAGTTAACCATCTGGCATGGTAAACGGGTCCTGGTTTTTTCATTGAATATTTTGGAGATATAATGCCTTTAGATATTTCAATGCAGTATTCATAAAGTTTACGTTAATTTATGTTTAAAGTTTACTCTGATCTGTACTAAGATCAGATAAAATATCAGAGTTTACGTAGAAATCAATCTTTGAATGAATTGGAACAAAAGCAACTATTGGTAAATCATGCAAATCACCTGCAGAAGCTTTTTGACCAATAGGGCCCTTAAATTTCTTTGGATTGTTACTTTACCATCTACTTCAGCTATGACATGGCAAAGTGGTAACTTATTTTGGTGAAGTACACATCCTAATAAATGGATTCGTCGATTTAAAAGCCTTTCTTATGTCACAACTAAGCCATTATCTGCACCAGTATTAGCAGAAGTATTATCAAGAACAATGCGATCCAAACTACTAATGCTGTTGTATTTTTCAAGTATTTTTAGTGTCTTGGTTGCCATTGTAATTCCTGTTCCATTTTTTATTTCAATATGAATTAAATATTTCTTAGAAAAAGATCCACTTTCTGCAGTAAAAGTTAAGTGATGTTCATCCTTTACTGTTCTATTAATAATAGGATCTGCATAATGATCATATCCTAATACATGTGCTAATGTTTTTTTGTCTTTTTTACTATCTACTCCAATGACTTTCAAATAAAAAACTTCTAAACAGTGTTTTTCACTAATCATGGTTGAAACACGCTTTTTAGTGTCAAATATCTTTTTTTCAGTGATAATTTGTGATCTGTCATTCTGAGTTATAATTTGATAGTCTGATTCTTATAATCATCATTGTTATCTATTTCCACATCATAAGTTTCACTGATACAATCATTATCTGAATAAAGTGCCGTGTCACTTGATAAATTAATTTTCTCATTACTTCTTTTTCTTTTGATCTTGGCTGTCTCTTTCTTATCAATTTGGCCTATCTGCCAGGTTCCAAAGGGACCTTTCTTAGCTTTCTGATCCTTTAAACACTCTCGTTCTAGAACTGGAACCTTAAATTAAAAAAATTCATTTTATAGCTTATAGAATTTAAAATAATAAAAAGCATAAAAAATAATAATACAAAAAAAAAAAAAAAAATGTAATATGTTTGCTTTTTTCACAGAGATATACATAGTGCTTGTTAGAGCAACCCTTGCATCGAACATTTCTAAAGAGTAATATGTAAAATAAAATATAATCCCATAATTTAAGAAAAAATAAAAAAACTGTGCAACTGTAAAATTTCTTGACAGTTTATTCACAAATTTGTTTGAACAAACATATTGTTTAATATTGTGGCTTTTTGAAAATGAATTGTGGCTTTTTGAAACTTCAAACTTGTCATCACAATTTAAAAGAGGAAGTTCACATCTGCATGTTGATATATCAAATAACTTTGAAAGATTATTTTCCAACCAACAAACACTGTTTTTATATTTTGAAGCTTTAGATCGTTCAGCTGCAATTACTTTTTGAAATGTTCTTTGTAACTTATTTCTTAGAGGTTTCTCCTTCATTAGTGGAAGATTTGGATTCGCTTTTTTCCAAATTTTTAAAATTTCTTTACTTTTAAAACTATGGCAGCAGAATCAATTTTTTTAGTTGTAATCATTTCTTTTTTGACCTTATAGGCATATTGAATAATCTGTTTATATGTTGGGAGGTCAGTAACAGGTAGTTCGTTTGGTTGCCCAGCATATCTTTCACTTTCATGTCTAGTTATAATATTATGTATTTTTTTTCTTGTTGGTTTCCCAGATTCACATTTTGCATTTATTTTTAATGTTTAAATATAGTATAAAAAAGAAACTAAATATATGGCTAATATAAATACTTTATCCGAATTAGATTTTATATAATATTTTATATCTTAAAACATTGTAAAAAATATCCTTTTCCCAACAAAAAAAATGGAAACTCATTTAAAAATGGCGAACTTGTTGTTACTATAACAATTTATGATGCGAAAATAGTATTTTAAGCGATGTTCTATTCTATTTTGCAATACTTAAATGAAGCCATGAAAATGCAGTTGGTTTTGTTTTTCCCAAAAAAATGACAAAGTTTTGAAATTTTTTAAATTTCAAATAATTTTATTGAATAGAAATAGAACATTTCCCAAAGTGAGCCAAGTGTTGACTTTAACTTGGTAGTGGTTTAATGTATATCCTAGCTTTCCGAACCCATAAAATACGGGTCTTTACTAAACCTACTATTTCTATACTTATCTATTCCACACCGATCATTTCTATACATATTATTTGTTTACTTCAATATTTTTACATAAAATAACTATTTTGAAAAATTGCTTTAAAAGCAAAAAAGTTTGGACAAAAGTACAAATGTTTGTACGCAACACTATACAAATGGCAGAACTATGATGATCTTAGACTATTAAAAACTATAGACTACAAAACTTGGCCACTTTGGCTCATTGACTTATGAAATTTTAAAAGAAAATAATCTTTTTTAATGGAAATAAATGCTATATATCAAAATTAAGGAGAGGTTGACAAAATGCAGTTTTCAATTGAAAGTAAAACTGTAAAACTTAATATATGTTTTAGTATGTTTTAACATTACATAATTTGAAATTCGTGTATGTTAGATATTTGCATACACTTTCACTCATGTTTTCTTATAAAACAAAGCAACTCTTTCTAGCCATTACATATTGGTAGCAATAGCTGACAAGAGTTCTGTGTCAAACAGGCTCGAATAGGCACTACAATTAAGTTCAGTATTATTATATAGATAAAAAAAGCCCAGGAACTAACTACTATCCAAAATTGCAGAAAAAGCCCAATCATTTTACTATGGACAGAAAAACACTATGTATCAACACCACATATTAGATCCTAGATGAGTCTAGAAAGATTTAAAAGCTTCATTAGATTTCATGATAAAACATGCACAAAAAGTAGGGGTTACTAACAAGTTTTCAATTATTTTAGTCAAATGCCAAAGCATTTGACTAAAATAATAATTTCAGTCAAAGTAGGATACTAAGTTAGTGTAATTTGAAAAAAGAAAAAATTCAAGCAAAATACAAGAAACAGTTTTAATGAGAATTAAAAAATATTTCATTGAAAATATAAATACTTGCTATATTTTCTTGACTTATGAGCAGGAATGAAGCAACTGCATAGCTTGAGACAAATTATATAAAAGTATAATATATGAATAAAGTAAAACAAAAACAAAAATTAAACATCATTAACACCAGGGTTGGGGTCAAACACATTTGATCAAATATAAACATGTTAACTCCTATAAATTAAGTCTTATTTTGCATGTCTTTTTATTATATAAACACAGCTAAAATGAATATATGATTTTTCTTTTATATGCGATTGTTTAGCACCAAACTTATAACTAATAATACAATTCTTTCTGATTTAATATTTAATTTGGTAGAAATTTCTTTTTAATAATAATAAAAAAACATTTTATTCAAAAACATACAAAATTTGGATAATAAAAGCATAAAATTTCAATAATACAAGACTTTGATTTAATTTTGATTTTGATTTAAGATTATTTTTAAAACAAGTATTCAAATATTTAAATTACCTGTTTAGCAACGTCCTTAAGCAAAGCTTTTTTGTCACAGGCTTTAAAATCTTCAACAGTGTTTTTGTTTATTAATAAACCTGGACAATAGAAAGAGTGAGGGACATGATAATCAGATTTGCTAAAAATAAAAAATGTGTTGAAAAAATTTATCAAATAACTTTGATAATAAAAAAGATACAATAACATTTATAAGCTGATTTGCACAAATAAAAAAACAAATGCTCCTTATAAAAGCGTAATTTTAAACTTTAGCCAAAAATTCAGAGTTTAAAAATCGGACAGTAAGTAGACACTCTTAAATGTGAAAAAATAAAACAAAAAAATAGGAGTATTATTATTTTTTTGGTGCAAAAATGCTGATGCAAATCTATATCCCAGAAATTAGTCATTTCATTTAGTTAAAAAATTTTACTTGTAGTTTTATATTGTTTATACACTGTTATTATAATCTTGTAAAAGTCGACTAGTAGAAAGTCGAAATTAGTTGACTAAGAAAAAATGAATAGTTGATTTAATCGACTATAGTGACGGAAAGTGGTTTTGCCAAATACCGAATATTTGGCTAGACACTCAACCAAAGCACCAAACACTCATCTGCAAATATTTGGTGACACTTTTATATTTTGAGGGTTTTGACCTGGTTCATTGAAGTGTGCATTGAATCCTTCTCAGTGAAAGGCTGTTTGACACCGATGAACCATTACTGGTGACTAGTAGCAATGATTCAGCTTTACTTTGTAAGAAAAAGAAATGAAAACAATCAAACTAATCTCTACAAAAAAATGCACACATATAAAGATGCGAGAAAGAATAGTTCCAATTTCAAATGATAATAGTTTTTACATGGCACTGTTTGCTTAAATTGGACAGCAAACCCTTACAAGTGTTAGTCAGCAAACGCAAAACATTATCCTAACATAACTTTCTAAAAAATTGTTGTTATTTGCCGCTGGCAGTGTACATAGTGAATGGTTATGTTAGGAAGTATGACATCTCTAATTATAACTATTACTTATTTTTGTTACTCATAAAGTTTTATCTAATTCATAACATATTAGCATTATTTAGGCTCTTTCTAGTGCTCTGTGATAAGAACGTAAGGACATCTGGGAGCATCTTAATAACAACATAAAAAAAAGAAAAACAATTATACCTAGTTAAATAATCGGTTATGTGTTTTATAATTTTTTTTTTCTTTTTTATACTCAATGTTTTTGATTTTCATAAATACTTTCAGGGCTGCTTCAAGCTGGTTCAGGGCCCTGGGACTTCGATATATAGGAAGTATTTAAGGCAGTCCCTAAATCATTGGGTCTGGTAATAAATTGCACAGTTGTTGGAGCGGTCATTCTCTCATATTGTTTTGTTCCATTAACATTTAAATGATATGATGTTAATAAATAGAAAGCGAAAATTACTTTATTATTTTTATGACAATTTATTTCAAAAAAATAAATTTCCACTAAATCGACTTAGTCGATTTTTAAAATGTATAAGTTGATTTTAGTCAGCTTTAGACAAGATATTAGTTGATTTAATTGTCAGTCGAATTATTTAATAGTTGTAACACAATGTTTTCAACGTTGTGTCTTTAAGTTCAATCAGCTGCTAAATCTTTTTGTAAAATAAAATAAAGAAATTTAATAATAATTAAACTGTAGATAAATTACAAATAAAAATTCAGAGTAACAACAAAGAAACACAGACAAAATAGTCAAAAATTTTCTGATAAATCATATCAAGCAAATATTAAAAATATGTTGATTTAGTTTGTGGAATAAAATAAGATTTGTTATCAGTACCGAAATTTCTGATGTTAAGAAAAAATGGTATTGAAATATTTGCTTATATATAATAAAAAAGTAAAAACTTTAGTGAAAATGCTGAAATTTTTGAAAAAATTGAATTTTTCTTTTTAAATTACAAGAACTCTCTGAATAAGTTTTGAAATTATAAAAATACAACTCACTGAAAAAATTTTAAATTATAAATTTATTAGAAATTATAAATTAAATCTCATAGGTGAATTTTGAGTTTTCAAGAAATTCAATCAATGAAATGTTAATATGGGTAAATATAAATGTTCTAGTTATTGAATTTTTGAACTATTTATGCATTTTTACAAGATATTATGTGGATCTGATCTACAATAAATACTGCTTTAATATAAATAATGAGGCTGCGAGGTAGCAACCAAAACATGTAAACACTTATATTTTAGGTGTATATGACCTACAATATGTGCCACTTTAATATAAATTTTAACAAAAATGATAAGCGTAAAAGTGATTCAATATGCAGGATGCCAATAACAAAACATTAAAAAACATTTTGCTTAGTTTTTTTCTATTTCAATAGATATAAATTTACTTCACATGCAGATATTGCTTGCCCAAACTAGTTTTGTCATGGTACTGGGTAATTGACATGATACATTGGTCCATCAATGGTTTTTTTAAAGCAGTTATTGTTGTACCAAGTACTTTGAAAGTAGGTAAATTGGTGTACCAATAATGACATCTAGATAATTTAACTATTATTTCCAAAAACCATTCATTTAAAAGTTATCAACACAAAATATGGTGATGGTAAAAATGTAAGATGATAAAAGCAACTGGTGTTAAAACAATGTAAACCATGTTTTATCACAGAAACCAGAAGCCTTGTAAAATATTTTGAATATACATTTAAGATATTTAATGAAAAAGTTAACCAATGTTTTTTTGTTATTGTTGTTTCATTTTTTATTTAAAGTTGTGTTAAATAGAATATGCAGTAGTGGTGTAGTGGTAGAGCGCTCACTTCATAAGCGAGAGGTTCCGAGTTCGATCCCCACCCTGGTATTACTGCGCTCAACTCGTTTCTTCGTGCAGCAGCCTTGTTTGTCAAGGTTCGTGTTTTGGAGTTATAGAGTTGAGAGAGGGTTATAACCACAAATAAGTAGCCTCCTTGTTTGTAGTGGCCTTTTTGGCCTTGAGGAGGTGAATTAACAAAAAAAAAAAAAAAAAAAAAAAAGAAAATCTATAGATCACCTAGCCATTTTTTTTAATTAACCTAGTTAATTAAAAAATTTATTTTTTAATTAACTAGGTTATTTTTTTAATTAACCTAGTTAATTAAAAAATTTATGCTTCTATATTCAAGTAGAGATTGGGAATCATATAATTAACTTTGTCTGATTTTTTCTAAAATTTAAAAACTATACAAAGCCAAAAAGTATATAAACAGGTCCAATTAAAAAAGGATTCTTTTTTAATCTTACATCTTGTGTCAAACAAATTTTAACATTAAAAATAACAAAATTTAAAGTAGCTATAGAATTAAGTCTTTATAGATAATTGATTAAACAATTTATCAAAACATATATCTTGGTCTGGAAGCAATTGCAATCACACTCTATTCCTGACCACACATAATATTTATTTGCAACAACTTGCAACAATTTTTAGATGTTTTGAGAACATTCAAATTGTGTGCCACAAGATGTCCTTATGGTTAGTGAATAAGTACTACAAGAAATGATGCAAGTTTGACTGATACAAGTAAAGATCTGCCAGACAATAGTTCCGTGTAAACTTTCATTTTTTATACAAATCAATTTTTATTAAATGTTTTTTAAACTTTTAATGATTGCTTTGAAACATTTAAGCAACATCAATTTTGTTCATTTTAATGTAAAAAGCTATATCCACTACTAATTTCACATATCAGTTATTGTATAACATGATAAAATTATTGTTAAAACAATTGTTGTTGTTATAATTAACTGTACTGTAAAAATTTTGTTGCTGTTTATTTTATTTGTTAACATAAGTATATTGCAATAAATTACAAAATTATTTTTCATTATTTTAATATTAACCAATTACAGTTTTAAATAAATTAGTATAAAAATATTTAAAACATCTAAAAAAAATTAGAATAAAAATATTTAAAAATTAAAAAAAACATTTATATGAAAGCAACCTGTTAAAAGCTGAAAACTCTATATTTAATCTGCAAGTAAGACCATCTCGATCATCTAAATAAATAAAAAAATTAACTTTTTTTATATTATTTATTCCATCTTGCAGCAAATTTATTTTATTTGAAAGAAAAAAAAAGCTTATTATAAATATTTTTATTTTCAAACATCCATATCATAATTTTTATTAACTTTAATTAAATATGTTTTTCAAAATTTATCTTTTGGAAATTTATTTCTAGTTTAGTCATTATTTAATATTAAAGCTTTTTATATTAAAGCTTTTTAAAGATTTTTTAAAAATTGAAAAAATAAAACATTTTCTATTTTTCTGACCAACTTCACTACCTTTTTTGACTGATTATTTCAATTAATCACAAGTTTACAATAGATCCAGTTTCTAAAATTATATTATATCATGAGACTACAATCGATACAGTTTCTTCAATTATATTTTATAATGAAATTACAATGGATACAGTTTCTACAATTATATTGCACCAATTACTACAAAATTAATAATAATAATAATAATAATAATAATAATAATAATAATAACAATAATAACAATAATAATAATAATAAGAGCAAGAGGGTGGCACAAGATAACCCTCTATAATGCATGGTCTTGAAAAAACAAAGTAAGAATAAAGAATAATAAAAGAAATAATAACAGATCATTTTAAAATTTTTTTGTTATTCCCCTATCCAAGGCCGGGAGGGCCACTTCAGTTGAAAAAGCTACTTTATTGCAGGTACAACTCTCACTCGACTCTAAACAATGATGGAAAAGGCCGCTGTGCAATGAAACAAGTTGAGAGTTGATAGAACTCCTAATTTCTCACTTAAAAAGTGAGCGCACTACCACTATAACAGAACCATAGGATATAATAGTTGGACATATTATCAAAATAGCAGTAATAACAGTAAAAAAGAATTAAAATAATTTTATTTTAAAAATGTAGAAAAATTTTTTAGGTATAGAATGTTGAGATAATTTATGTATTTTAAAGATAGTATTATTAAGTAAAATAATGTTAACAATTTACTTTTTTAACAAACATCAAGAACATGATTTTAAAATTTATAAAGGGGTCGTCCATAAAGTATGTCACGCTATTTTTTTCAATTTTCAACCCCCTCCCCCCCTCCTGTCACAAACTGTCACATATTTCTGCACCCCCCTTCCTAAAAAAGTATGTCACATGTTTCTCCCCCCCCCCTCCCTCTAAAAAAAAAACAAACCATTACGGAATTTTCAACATTCTAAAAACATAGCTATTTAACAGAATAAAAAAGACTCAATTTAACTAATTTGAAATACCTTCTTAATTTATTGGGAAAGATTGTCATCATAAAATAAAATAAAAATAGTTTTTTTATTTGAACCTTATGTTTTTCAAATTACAAATTAACCTTTTACTTTATCTACCCATTTATTATTATCCATCCACGGAGATTTGAAGTGTTCGTCTATAGTTAGGACAGGCATTTCTGATGTTTTTTCTAAATCTTCATCTGGAATGACAATTCCCGAAACATCAACTTCGTCTTCATCCAGCCACTCTATATCTTCATTTTTTTCTCGAGCAATAACTACCATCAGCTCTCTTTGTCTTCTAGCGGCTACTCTTATTGGTCTGATACGCTTTGTTTGAGTTTTCTCAAGAACAGTATTTCCTTTATCGCAATTTTTGTGCAATTCAACATGTTTTTTCAAGATAGCTTGAGAAGCAAAATAGAGATGGCAAACTTTGCATATTCGATTCAATAGACAAGTCTGTACTGATGGACAAAAGAGATCATAAGGATGAACTTGGAAACTTCCTGCCGATCTGGCCATTATATCATCTATTTTAATACTATGTGAAACAAAAAGTGATGGATACTTATGAGACTCACTGTCTCCTCTTTTGTCAGCTTGAAGACCATTACTTGTTTGAATAACTGGAATTGGAGGACATAAAAATCGCGAAGGAACAACATTGAAATATGAGCTTCTTATTTTAAAGCAACATTTTACATCTTGACATTTAACAATTTGAGTAAAGTTTTGACTTGTGCGGACGTGTTCAGAAAACCATTTTATATCTTTAATTATCAATTCTTCTGCATCTAGCTCAGATGTCTCTGGATCAATAAACTCGGCAACTGTTGGAAACTGGTCAATAATAACTTGTGACCATATTTCAGCCAATGTTTGTCCAGCATACTTGAAATTTCTTCTCTCCAAATAATCATCTATTGTTCTGCCCTGTGAATCGAGATGGCTACCATAGCGTTCATGAGGCAATATAACACCAGAAAGTTCTCTGCTCAGTGGAGCCATTCGACGTTCCACTCTATTGAAAGCACTTCTACCTGGCGCGTTGGTTGCAATAAATAAGGCGTCTAGATTATTTTTAACAAAATGGTGGATAGCAACATCTATGACTTTTTGATAACGTGGATTTTCATCTGGTCCTCCATCCACCGTGAAGACAACAATAGGCTTTATTATCTTATCTCTGCCGTCTTTTGTTATTGCATCAAATTCGTCTAATTGTAACAATCTCTCAAAGTCTAAACCATGAGCAAGAGCAGAAGAAGACGAATGTTTGCCTGATCGGATTGCAATATAAGTTGGACCTGAATACGTAACAGCGTCTGGTTTACCAAGTCCATCTTTCTTGATGCAAATTCCAGCATATACTGATGGAATAAGCTTATGTCTTGCTGCAACAACCCAATCGTGGTCTGGCAAATTGATGCGATATTCAACATGCATAAGCAATGGAGCTTGTTTGATTGCAGCTGTTAACCCAATAGGGACTCGCGCTTTGTCATCTTGGCTAATAAAACAGACTTCTTTTGGTCCCAGTATAGACGACAACTCTTCCAGGTGTATCAAGGTTGCTGTACAGAATTTTCCATCGATGTGCTTTGAGTGTGACTCATTCTGAGATCGGATCAATTTGACTGGCACTGTTGATATGTGTCTTTTTCCTTCCAAAGTTGAACTTCGTCGTGGCATTAGCCGAGTGTAAACGGTGCTCCTACTCACCTGATAACCATCTTTATTTAGTTGCTTAGTCAATTCATCTAGTGTTTTAATACTGCGATACATATCACTTTGTCGTCTTTCATGTGCAGCTGATCCATGTAAAGCAATATCAACAATGGCTTTCAGGAAAAGTGGTTGATTAATTTCAACAGAAGGTCGACTTGTTTTATCTTTTGCTTTCAAAGCATCACAAACTCCAGGGTTCTCTGCGCAAATTTTAGCGAGAGTTTCTCTTTTTTTTGCTCTAGTTTTTTTCTGTCTTGCTTGTTCTTTCTTTTTTTTAACAAACTTTTCTCCAACATATCTACTTTTCTTCTTTTCTCAATAAGCTCTGCTTCTTGATCATTCGTAATAATACCACTGTCTTTTCTTTTATGTAGTCCAACTAAATCACTCTTGATAACATCAATTTTAACTTTTAGTTCATCTTGAACTTTTGTTTTATATTTTCCTACATTTTCAGAACCAGACGTTGATGAAGTTATCATAGAACATTCACAAGAAGAAGCTTTACATTTATTACCCCCTACAACAGTATCTGGTAATTTTGCTAGAACATCCGGAGCCGATGATTTACGTGGTATAGTTTTCGCATCATCATGTCGTAATGATTGATTTGCCCAGAAACTCATCAGTGTACCTTTTTTCTTTTTAAACAGAGCATCATATTCTCTTAACAGGGAGTCTACTTTTGCAGAAAGATTATCTTCAGATTTCACCTTACTCCAAATATCATTAACTTCCTTTTGACAATCTTGTTTCCTCTTCTGTGAATATGCCTTAACATAGGCATCATAAAGTGATGCGTATAACTGTCTTTTGTCCATCTTTATATTATGAATTGCCTGAAACACATTTGCACTCATTTAGAGAAATTAAAAATATTGTATTTATGCCATAATATCAATTACTACTAACTTAGTTATACTGAGCGCTAACTAGCTTCTATCCTATTTACACTATTATTTGATAATAATCTTTGTTTGCTATTGGCTATTCAAAGCATGAGCAAGTCTATTTAACTTAGTTATTATATATTATATATTTAAGTAGTCATATATTCTTGCTTAAATGTAAATATAACTAAAACTCTTATGTTTATATACTGCCATAAGATTCAAAAAAATAAATAATATAAAAGATAATATTTTTAAAATGTTTTATTTACTTATTTAAACTCTCTATTTAAAATTCCAAACTTAAATTATACGTTCTTAATTTAATGATTTTGCATTGCTGCGCTTTAATGTCTTCAGAAACGTGAAGGCAGTTTTTTGCGAACTTTTTAAACTATTCAAAACTATTTAAAATACGGCGATACGCAAAACATAAGAAGTGTAAGTAAAATTTTAGGCAATCGGAAATACTCCTTTAATTGAATGAGTAAATAAGTAGAAAATAATCATGATAAATAATTTTTGTGATGTCACATTCGTCAAACTCCCCCCTCCCCCCTTGTCACAAATTGTCACAAACTTATGCCTCCCTCCCCCCCCCCCTAGTAGCGTGACGTACTTTATGGATGACCCCAAAAATTCATTAAAAAAAAAAATTATCAAAAAAAATAATAGCCTTTAAATTGCTATAGTACAACATAAAGTGGTTTTTAGCTACTCATGAAGTGGTTTTTAGCTTCAACTACTCCTGAAGTGGTTTGGCTGAGTAAACTGATATCTCATGTGAGCAACAAATGGAAACTAATATTAGTGCTATAAATGTAAGATATGTAAACTTAAAAACTATACTGATATATGTTAAAAACAAGTTCTGCTAATAAAATTAAAAATTCTATACACACATATATGTATATGTATATATATATATATATATATATATATATATATATATATATATATATATATATATATATATATATATATATATATATATATGTATATATATATATATATATATATATATATATATATATAAAATCTTTGCTTAAATACAGTTTTTATTTTGTCGATAATCTACTGTTGAATTAAAAAATTTAATGTAGCATGAACATTTATTT